TGCCGAGCCGGAAATCGAGGTCGGAGAAGAAAGACGCCGGAGAGGATGAGCTCCGGCGAGACCCTTACGAGGTGCTCGGCATCTCCAGCAACTCCACGGATCAGGAGATCAAGAGTGCCTATCGGAAAATGGCTCTAAGGTATGTTGAATTTTGTTTACTGGTGACTTTCTTCTGATCGTATTGGCTTTTTGTTTTGTTCTGGGGAGAAGGTGAAATCTCGCTAATTTGGCTTTCCAGAGACTCTAATTCAGATACTTTCTTGCACTTATCTGCTCTGATTTTGTTGAAAATCTTCTGTATTGTTTTTATAGTACAATAGTCATTTCTTGTATCGGGGTGCAAATTCTACCCCCAGTGTGATCCAATGAGAACTGAAGTAGCACACTACTGGGATCATATCTGGTTGTGGGTGCATCTATTCCATAAGGGGATAGAAGATATGATTTTCCATTTTTTAGGTTTGATCTTGCTGTTTAAGAATACCTTTTTTGTTACACTTTTATAATTGCTCAAAGAATATCATCAATCAGCTTCTTGTCTGTTCACAATCATGAGTTTAGTGTGTACTTTCTTAGTACAACAAAACGTGGCTAGAACTTGAAAAGCTTATTTAAGTGTGAGAGTATATGGAAATTAACTCAAGATGTAGAACAGTTAAGTATTGGATTCTATGTTCTGGAGTGTCTTGTCTCTCATTCTCCAGTTCTTTTTTGCGTATGTTGCTAGTTCTGAGGTTTAGTTATTCAGGTACCATCCTGATAAGAATCCAAATGACCCGGTTGCAGCGGATATGTTTAAGGAGATTACATTTGCCTATGATATCTTGTCTGATGCTGAGAAACGGCGCCAATACGCTACAGATGGCTTTGAGGTGAGTGTGCATACATATAAGGTTAGCTGTCTTTCTTGATGTCTGAATACTTGGGCGGAGTGTTACCATATTCTGGCAGTCTTTGCAAGTCGTGTGACTTGAAGACTTAGGGACAGTACAAAATAGCTGCAGCAAAGAGTTTCGACTTCTGCTCTCATTTCTTCTATCCTTCTTTTGTTTATTTTTTTTTCTGTTAACAATATCGCTTTTGGGTCCTGTTATTCACCACCTAAGGCTAAAAGTTCTAGGTCTTTTCACCTGCCTGCCCATCCTTTATCTGTTGCTACACATAGATTGTTTATCAATACTGTCAATTTTATACATGGTTCACCTTGTATGCTTATGTAGGCTGTTGGGTCAGAGAATGAAGAGCTTGAGGTGGATATCTCAAGTTTAGGAGCTGTCAACACTATCTTTGCTGCACTATTCAGGTCAGCTGTCTAAATAAAGCTGCCTATACTCTCAGTTCTTCATTTCCGCAAAACTTTCTACAATGTCTGGAAAGAAAATATACGAGGGTCTTTCTTTTCTTTCTTTTTGCTATTTACGAGTTTGCTGTTCTTTCCGACGCAGTAAACTTGGTGTGCCAATCCGAACAACTGTCTCAGCAAATGTATTAGAAGAGGCATTGAACGGCGTTGTTACAACTCTGCCGCTTATGGTTGGTCAAGTGGTGTCTAGGAAGGTATGGTAGTAAAGGTTTGGCTGGCTAGCATTTTTTTTTGTCTTTGTGATATTCTCCGGTTTGTCACACCTCACATTTTTCTTCTCTAACAGGTTGAAAAGCAATGTGCTCACTTTTATTCTGTCAAGTTAACAGAGGAGGATGCACAGGCTGGATTAATATGCCGAGTGCAGTCATCCTCCAAAAGCAAATTCAAGGTTTGTTTCACTCAAACACTTGCCTTGCCTTGTGTAATCGAGGAACAACTGATTATTTTCTTTTTTAGTGTTGCCTATAGAGTGACATCCATGTGAAGCCCTCTTAAGTTTTGGTTTCCTTTCTTTTCAGTTGCTTTACTTTGATCGATCAGAAAATGGAGGGTTAAGCCTCGCACTACAGGTAGGAAATTTGTGTTCAGAAGCTTGTTGAGTAACTAGTTGAACTCATTCTTTTGAAGTTGAATTTTACACGGACTCACCTTGTTGAGAAGATGAAATCCTTGTTTCAATTCGAGCATTATACGGATAAATGGAAAACGATGTTACACTCGAGTTGGGCCAGAAGGAACATGCCCAGCATCTAAAGTTGGGTCCTTGTGGCCATGTATTTATCTTCTTCATTACCAACGACAGAGAATTTTCTCTATGTCATGCTTCTTTTTTTTTCTAAGCTGTAGTTTTCATTTTGCGATAGGAAGACAGCAGAAAAACAGGAAAGTTCTCATTCGCTGGGTTATACTTTTTTGGCTTCCCTGTTTACCGGTTTGATCACCGAGTTAATACAGTATGTGTCTCCATACGCTGAAGTTAGTTTGAAATGTTCTTGTCTGTCCTTATCATCACCCTTTGCTTAGTTTCTGCTTCTTTTGTTCCCAGAGGGCTCTGTCAAGGGATCCAGAGACTGGATTTTTCAAAAGGCTTGATGGGTTTCAGCCATGCGAAATCATCGAACTGAAGGCTGGATCTCATGTATTTGCTGTTTATGGTCGGTGCTTTGCTTAAAAAAAACATCTTTATGCGTTTAATCTAATATTAAATAACCGACAAATCATCATATCTCTCTCTCTTAGGTGACAATTTTTTCAAGAGCGTGAGCTATACCTTACAAGTCGTCACTTCTGCCCCTTTCGCCAAGGAGAAAGAGATTCTTCGATCCACGGAAGCAGAGATTGTCTCGAAAAGAGCAGAGCTATTGAAGTTCGAATCTGAATACAGAGAGGTTGAATTCCAGACATCTTTGCAAGCTCTTCTATGGAGGAATATACTTAATACTGGCTGACATAGATTCTTGTCAGGTCTTTGCACAGTTCACAGAGATGACTAGTAGATGCAATGGGGAGATACAAGAGGTGGGTGGGACCCGAGTTTGGAAGTTGTGTAATGGGTAGGTAAGTGGAGGTGTTATTTGATGCCGTTTTTCCTTTTTTGCAGATCGACGAGCTTCTAAAGCGGAGGAACGAAATCCAAGCTTCGTACACAACACTTCCCCCGACAAGACAAGCTTCGAGCAAGAACAGGAGCTGGAGCTGGAGCAGGAACAGTCTCTTAACGGAACGGAAAGAAGGAGGAGAAGGAGAAGAAGGAGAAGTAACGGTACGGAAAGAGGAAAGGAAGAAGAGATGGTTCAAGACGAAAACCCTGAGAAAATAACGGGGGGGGGGGGGGGTATGTATGTATATAGAACTCTATGTTCATCTCACAAGCAAGTGAACCATATTAATCATAAGAGAGGAGTTTTAATATCATCAAACAAAACCCTCTTTTGTTGCCATTTTGTGAGATTTCTGTTTACAGGAGACAGAACATAACTGGGCGACCAAAATAAACCGTTTGATTTTTTAACCAAAAAAAAATAAAATTAAACCGCTTGATTTGATTTCCACAAGGAAGCTTTCAAAAAAAAAATGTACCATTTTCGTGGCCAAGATATCAAATACCATATCAAAACTCGTAAGCAATATGATCCAGCAAAATGTCTCACATGAAGCGAGTGTTATGAACAAAGATGGATAAACCCAGAAAATGTAAATTTGAAATGTGTTTATGACGACATCTAGTTAGACATTTTTTTTTTATTTAAATGAATTTTAGTATCTTTGAAAATAAATATTTATTTATATAGAGTTCCAATATTCGTTATCCATTTCTATTTATTATATTCGAAAGTATAACAAATTAATAAACAAAATATGATAAATTATAAATAAAAAATTGTATAAAGGGTTATTTGCATTTGTTAAAATGAAATGAAAAATATAGTTTTTAAGAATAAATTCAAATAAATTTTTACGAAAAAATGAGATAATTAAAAGTGATTTTTACATTTCTCCCAAAACAATAATAACAATTTAACCTATAACCCAAAAGAATTTACCAGAAAATCTGTAAAATTTAAATTTCTAGTTTTTCAAATCATAAAGTTGGGTTTTTTTTTTTGGGTGCGCAATTGAATTGGGTCTTTTTCAGTTCAAACAACACAAGTGGCTTTTAACAAAGAAGTGCATACAATGTTACAAGAAGACCATAATGCCAAGTTTCATTTTTTTTTTTTTTTGCATTCTATACAAATCCTCACATCAAATTGTTTTACATCTTAAACTCCAACAGCTTCAGCTCCCCTCACAGGACCTGTTTCAACAAAAACCACAAAAGCTTTTTTATAATTCTTTCTGTTTCCTGTTTTGTCCTAAGGAACCTAGTTGCTCGTAATTTCTCTAGTACTTATTTTACCTCTCTTTTTGAGCTTGTTCCGGAACCTGCTGAATGCTGTTTCCTGGTAATTTTCATTGCAAAATGAACGAATGAATCCCCAAATACAGATCCAAGACGCAATTATTACTGAGAAATCGAGTTGGGGAAATAGAGAATTACCACGGGCTGACCCGTCTTCACTGCTTGATGGATTGCTTCCACTAAGTTACGGCTAGCCTCGGTGTAAAGGCTAGTCACAAGTCCATATTGGCCAGCTCTCGCTGTCCGGCCTATCCTATGCAGGAAATCTACCGCAGAAGTGGCAAAATCGGCCTGAAATCACCCGAAAACCCAAAAAGGTTAGAGCTTTTTGAAGTTATACCCATCATTCATAACGTCTCGTGGGGTACTAGTAGTTCGTTCTTGGATCTCGGGGTTCATGGATTTGAGAATTAAAAAAAAAGCACCTGAACAACATGTGAGACATTCGGGACATCAACTCCACGAGCAGCAGCATCAGTGCAGACAAAGATACCGCCTTTCTCGCGGAAATCAGACAATATCTTAGCACGTTCTTCGAGCGGGTGATTCTTGTGATAGCGATGACATTGGATACTGGCTCTCTCCAATATATTTGCCACTGCTTCAACTGCTTCCACAGTGTTTGCAAACACCATCGTTCTGACTGCCTTACCGCTATTTTCTAATCCTTCAGATTTCAGACCGTGGTTTACAGCCTCTATAAGAGCATCTACCTGTGTTTCAATTGTCACTTCTACCCATTTCTGCTCAAGTCTGTAACACAGAGAAGACAATAAGAACACAGTGAAAGTATAAGGCCATGTCAAAGAGCTGTTTTATTGAGCTGAATTGAATTGTGACGCAGACAGATGCAAATTACTTTCACAAACTAAAGCAGAGTATCAGTTTCATTTTGAATCAAAGATAGAGGAGTTCTCATGTGATTTCACAGTAGTAGAATAATTAGAATTTACAACTTATGGATTATGCTAATATTCATAATATTTGAAAGACCAATGGTCTGAATAATACAAGCTGCATTGCGTGTGAATGTGTGTATATATATATATGCCTTCATCTTGACCAGAAACTACAAGAAAACAATTAAAGAACAGAACGTAAAACGAGGACAAACAAAGAAGATATATCACACCTTGGATTGTGTCGGTGAAGAAAGTTTCCACTAACCCAACTAGCTTCAGGAAACATATGTTTCAAAACTGCTCCAGCAGTTTTTTTCCCATTAACCGGAAGTGTTGCAGCTACAAAAATATACTGCTTGCTCCTCTTATAGCTTTTCCTTACCCTTCTCCAGTCTTTTCTGTTATTGGACCTGGTTCCAGTTTCATTGGTCGAGACCTGAATATCAACATCAAGATGACCAACTTCATCATCCTCAGAGCTAGACTCATCATAGATTTCTGTGTTCTCTTCTGTATTCTCCTCATCTTCAGAAACACATTGTGATAACGAGCCAACATCTATTTCCACCGGTTTCCCGAGTTCAGCTGTAGTCAAGCGAGACACCTGTTTCTCGTCAAACCGGAACATGTTTATCAGACGGATAACCTGATTCTGGAAGCTTCCACAGAGAAGCACAGCAGGAAGTTCAATTTCAGAAAAGAGCAGAACATATTAATATGTCTGGTAACTAAGAAAACATACCACATATTTTACGGATCTAAGAAAATCCAAACGCCTCTTTCTTTTCGGATCTATATTATTCAGAAGAGCAGCAGGAGTTGACACAATAATATCTGGCCGTTTAACTGGCCAGCCCTGCAGCAGAAGTACATATTCAGAAGTATCAATGAAATCATGTTTCTAAAGAATGGCTAAGACTTGTCAAGCGAACAAAAAGAAAAGAAAATGATGACCACATATTTATTTCAAGACATGAATGACTAGTACCTGTGTTCCACAAACGGCTTCAACTCTAAGAAGCGGATTCCCGTCCTCTCCCAACAAACTAGCAGCCATCCGGACCACTTGCTCACAGAGCAGCACATTCGGGCATAGAATGAGAGCAATCTTGCTCGGTGGTATCGAAATCTGATCGCTATTAGAACCCTCGTATTCAAGAGGGTAATCTGATAGCTTTTCGATTATTGGAGCAAGGTATCCATGTGTTTTACCACTACCAGTTTCTGCAGCAACTACAACATCTTTTCCCGACGATATAGACGGTATGCAAGCCGCCTAAGAGAAAGCAGTAAAGAACCACAATGAACATTTCAAGATCCAAGAATCAGATGGAATGGGATGTTTCCAAAGAATAACACCCCAGCAGAAGAAAATGCAAGATCATGAATGCTTTGGACTGAAATTTAGCAAAAGAATCGCACCAGGGAACTAAATGTTCTCACTTTTTCTCTTACTTCAGTTCATTGAACCACAACTCAATCCAACATTCGGTTAAACATCCAAAAATGTAGAGACAGAATCCATAGAGCTAATCTTACAAGAAGAGATTTCTCCAAAATCCAAAAGCAAATCCATCAGCTCGGGAACCAAAACAGTACCTGCGTAAGAGACGGTCTCTCGAAACCGGATGCTCTGAGAGCTTGAGACACCCCATCAGATAACCCCAGAGACTTCCATGAAATTGAATCTTCCGCGAAGAACGTTTCTTTCACATTTCTCTCGGCTTCTGCTTCCGCTGATGTTGCCGACGCAAACCCACGAACCCATTTCCCATCAGACCGGCTCAGACAGATCAAACGGAAACGAATCGAAGAAGACGACGAAGCAGAAGAACCATAAGCGAGAGGTAACGTGAGCTTGAGTTTCTGAGACAGGAGCTTCGGCGCCGATGAGAGTCCGTACAAATGGAGCACAGAAGAAGAGCGAGACAGAATCATCGGGATTTAGAGTCAAGCTGTTCGGAGAATCCAACGGTGGATGCCGGAAAATTTTACGGATTCCGGTGAGTTTTGTCCGGCGGATAAGATGGCATTGGGGTTTGGGAAGATAAGATAAGCGAGGCGGGTTTAGGGTTTAAGCGAAAGAGGTATACATCGAAACGGTGTCGTTTATGGTTTAAATGAAAATGAAAAGGGGGTAATATAATTATATAGTCATTTAAATTTATATGATATAAAAATTTTAATTCGTTTTTGAATAATTGTTCTTAATATAAAAAGCAAAAACCCTTGTTTCCTTTTCCCTCTGTTGCAAAGAAGAAGATAAGCTTCGGCTAAACACCGAAGCAAAACACTCACTGAGAGCTTCAATGGCGGAAGCCCTACTTTATTCTCCGGCATATTCACTGACCCTTCTCTCTTCTCCTTCTTCTTCTGGTTCTTCTTCGCGTCATGTTCTTCCATTTGTCTTCAGCTTCTCTTCTTCATCTACGAATTATTCTGTAATCAAATCGACCCATTTTGCAAAACGCCGATTTGGCCCAACTTCGACTGTCTCCTCGGGACGACGTCTTATCTGCAGAGCCGCTGAGTACAAATTTCCCGACCCCATACCCGAATTCGCTGAAGCGGTGAGCTTGGTTCCGTTTTTTTTTTGGGCTACTGGGTCCTTTTTTTTTGTTTTGAATGTTGAGATTTTGAAGGGTTTTGACGATTGATTTATTCAAATTGATGATGGATGGTTCAGGAGACTGAGAAGTTTAGAGCTCACATGAATAAGAAGCTATCCAAGAAGGATGATCTCTTCGGAGATTCTGTTGAAGAAGTTGTCGGAATCTGCACTGAGGTAATTGAAACACGCACACACACACACACATTTTATGTTCTTGGAGACATTCTCTTGATTTTGGCCTGTCAATGTTCAATTTTGCTGCAAAAATGAAGTCTTTTTCCTTGTTTAAGTCCTCTTTCTCTCTCTAGATGCTTAGTATTCGGATTCCAGAAGAGCGAATTTTCGGACAATTCAGTATGGTTAGTTCAGGCAATGGCCTAGATTCTAGATTCTTTTGTGTTTGGATGCCAAAGGAGCAAACTTTCTGAGTTTTCAGGTCATGATTGTTCTTTGACATGTGAAATGCAGTAACCCCCCAACTCCAAGTATCTAGAATAATAGCAGTCATTAATTTATTAACTTTGCTTCCAAGCAATTCGTATGCTGGTTTAGAAGGAGGCGTTACAACTTGATAGACATATTTCTCCGTAGAATTTTCGGGTACAAGGCTTTTCAGACATGTAGCAGTCTTGCCGAGATCATCTGTGTAGTGTTTTCTCTTGAAGTTGCTCAACCTTTGAGGATATTATGGAGCCCGGGTTCACTACGGAACTCAAACTGTATTCTGAAATGGAGACTTCTAACTCTTAAGACTCGTTTTTACTGGCTAGAAACATAGGCAAGTCGATTCCCATTGATGTGAATAAGCTTAGCTCCATATATGATGAATTCTGTTTTTTTGCGTGATTTGTATCAGATTCTCGGGACATTCTTGCACAACGAGTATGGAGGACCCGGAACACTGTTGGTCATACCTTTCATCGACATGGCCGACACTCTCAACGAAAGGGGATTACCCGGAGGGCCACAAGCTGCTCGAGCGGCCGTGAAGTGGGCTCAAGATCACGTCGACAAAGACTGGAAGGAATGGACTGGCACCGATTAGGGTAACGTCCTCAGTTAGGGTTAGATAAACAACTCTGTCCAGCGGCTACGGCATCACAGTTTTGAGGATATCACTAGCTGTTGAACTTATTCCACAGAATATAAAACCAGTGGTAAGAGTTTTGGATTTTGTGTTAATGAAAGAGACTTGAGATTGTTGAGATCTGCAAAGAGCCTTTATGGGTTTGAATATGTATTCTGATCGATATTAAATCAAACAAAGACGTCGCCTTTGGATCTACACAGTCTTCGACTCTGATCTCACCCCTTCTGGTAAGCTATACATTGACTTAGATTTCATCTATCCATTCTCTGTAAAAACAAGTAGGCAGAGAGATACTCTCTCTCTCTCTCTCTCTCTCTCTCTCTCTCTCTCTCTCTCTCTCTCTCTCTCTCTGTCCGATATTAAAATTAACTTGCAGCTTCAGAGATGCTCTGCAACGACGGCCTCCATGTTCTTGACTTTGACGACACTGAACTCATCTGCACTGGCCGTTGCCTCTCTTGTTGCATCGCCTGAAAACCCATGATTTCGTTCAGCATCTCGAGTTTACACCAGTTTATGAAAAAAAAATTCCAAAAAGAAAAAAAAAACCAATCTTTGCAGCAAAGTTCGATCTTTTAACAAGACCCGTGTTTCAAAAGCTGGAGTTTACTCTCGGTTTCAGTGTCGGAATTGTCGCCAGTTTCGATGTAATTCAAAGTTTCTGATTTATCCAGAAGATTCTTACCACGAGATTCTTTTCAGATTCTCTCCGGTTTCCGGATTCTTCAACAGCCTTCTTCTCCGACGTCGTTTCTCTCTGTTGCTTCTTCGTCTTCGCTCGCAAAACCTTCATAACCTCTGAAAACGACAAACCGGAAACCATTATCAGAAGAAGAAAAAAAACACCAGAAGAAACTTCTGACACAAGAAACACAAACCAGAACCAAAAACACCAACCTTGCGAAGTAATGAGCCTGTAAGCATGGCCAAGAACAAGAGTCTCGGTCGGTCGGAGAAGCTTCACGCGCGTGAACCGCACGACCCTCTGCCTTTTCTCATCTGTCACCGGAATATTCGTCTCCGGCAAGGGAATAATCTGAGAAACATAGTGTCCGGGGTACATCTTCATGACTTGTCTCACCGAAACAGGACCATAGTACCTGTCGATTTTCCCGTTGGGATGCTGTAAAGCCAGCGCCGCCGCATCCACCGCCTGACAGTTCCCCATCTTCGCCGGGAAAAAAAACTTTTTATTTCCTGTCTCTTCAAAAATCTCTGGGCATGAAGAAAAAAGATAAAAGAAACAGAGAGAGTCTCTGTGAAGGAACGAGGAACAGTGGTCTTTTTCCGGACAGCGTAAACGTCAGGTCCACCACTCTTGCTTCGCTTATATTGTTGTTATTATTATTGCTAATTAATTAAAAATATTATTCTGTAATTAAAGTTGTGTTGATTATATTTATTATTATATTTTATTTTTATTTTTTTGGGGAAAATAATAGGTTGGTCGGAATTTAATAGTCACTTAAAACTGGTGGGTTACCAGAACCGGAGATCATGGATCGACCGCATTGACATCCAACCTTCTCGATTTTTTTTTATAAAAAAAACAAAATTACATTTTTATGTATTAAACATGCGATTAAGATTGTTATATACTGGTTATTAATGAATTTAATCAATTAAATTTTGGTTGAAATTACTTATTTTTAAAAACTGAAATTTCATCAACCAAATGTATTTCTCAAATAATCTCTCCGTAAGTCTCTTATGGTTGTATGTGTATATATATATATATATATATAAGACAAATCTATAAATATTTATTACACTTAATTTATTACGAAAAAATATTAAATGATATAAATATATCAACATAATCAAGTTTTGTTAAGTGACCAACACACAACATATCGAGATTTAGATTCAAATTATGTTCTCTGGTCTTCGATCAAGCCAACATGGTATATTAATTAAATAGATTTAGTCTAATTACAAGTACATAAACATAATCAATAATCACAATAATAATGATTAGGTTGACAGTTTTTGATCGGTAATATTGATTTTGAAGTGAATCGGATTAATTAGGGTTCACATGTGAAAAAACATATGGCAGGAATGTGTAAGCCACGTGGAGATGTTGGAGATCGCCTTTAGCTATGGTCTCTCTCATACATATATTCGATTAGGACTCAAGCTTTACTTCTTGTTCATAACGTGACACTTGCATGCGTGTATGTGTGTGTATATATATGGAAATACAAATATATATATATATATATATATAGATAAATGTAGCATTAGAAGAATTGTTAATAAGCAGATTTTGACTGTGGAATAATGTGATCCGAATTTGGATATATAATTAAAGTATGGTCGGATTTCTGTTTCATCTGGAATTCTAAGGTTTCACAGAATACAACATAATTTAAATATTTTTCTATCGTGAAAATGCATATTTTAGGTATTGGATGATCTTACACAAATTCACATTTTTCAAAAGTTTTATTTAAAAATTCAACAATAAAATACAAGATGACTTTGTAAGAATTAGTATTGGTACAATACTCACAAACAAATCAAAATTGAAACATTATTATATATAAATATAACTATATATATATACCATCTTGAAGATGGTCGCGAGGCTACAAATATGTATAAATGTGGCAACCATGTATATATAATAATAACGAAGTGGGAGGGCCTTTGAATAAAATTTTTGTCATTTTGCAGGGCAAGAGCTAGAATAAATTAGGACAGTGGTTGTAATCCGATGCCCGGAATATCCTCGGCACGAAATCAGATTTGTCGATTCTTATATTATATATATATATATATATATTTGCCTAGTGTATATCACAAAACCCTACGACCTAACTTGGAATCATACACTATAACAAGAGAGATAAATTTCAATACAATCTTACGCTAGAAATTATTTTAGAAAATCATATTTTATAAGTATAGTCAATACCATAATCCGAATCAAATTAACCACGTCTTCCATGGAATTTGTATTTCAATTTATTATTTATTATTTGAGAGGGAAAATTATATATAAAATTCAAAACCATATATATATATATATATATATATGCATGGATGCAGGCATAATAGAGTATGAGTGGAAAACTAATGTGTGGGGCACCAAAATTTAGGTTTTGATTATTAATATTGTGCTTTTATAGTTTCCTCTGTTAATCAATTAAGAACATTGAATGAAGGCATCTTAATTTGTTACTTTTTCTTCGGTGCAATGTTATTTGGAAATTTAAAATTAAGACGAAAGAGGAAAAAAAAAAACAAAGACAGCTATTAAAGTTACTTTCAACTCTATTCTCATTTTGATTCCCATTTCTTTTCCTTCTAAAGAAGGGTGAAATTTAACTAAATATAATCGAAATATATTAAGATAATTGAAATTATAAAATTAAGAAAAAAAAGACATTAAAAAATTCATACAAATGGTTATAAATGTAAAATATATATCCGGTGAAAATTAAAAAAAAAAATAGCAATTTTATGTATGTAGATTTTGTTGTTGAAATACTAAATATATACCGTATTGATTTGATATATGAAGAGAAAATGAATAAAAATATGATATCATTGTATGCTTAATCCATGAAAGAAATTAAATATACACGAAACCCATTTTATAATCCGAGCTAATTAACGGAATATTTAGTTTTTGGTATAATTGTCGAACACATACAACAAAATATCCCAACATATTGAAATCATCGTCTTTAGTCCGATTTATTGACTTCATGATATCCCAACGTCTACAATCATATATGTGTGTGTGTATATATATGAAGCTGCATTTAATAATTATTCTTTTTGTCACATAATTATTAATTATTATTTATGTTTGCATTTATTTGATTTTTACGTAAAAACTCTGTGAAATGTCAAATCGTTTACCGACAAAGAGAATCAGTACAGAATTATATAGGCAGAGCACCAACTGTTGGAGATTCAGTTGGTGAGTTCACTTAAACTCGTATTATAGGCTCTTCATTATAAAAATTACATCACAATAATTTCCGACAAAATTTCAAGTTTTAGAAAGATGGTGGCAGGGTTTGACATGTTGGTTTAAAAAATAATATCTAATAATATTTAAATAAATTTAATTTTAAAAAAATCATCACATGTTCACAAACTCTAAACATAAACCATCAAATCAATTCCATTTGTTTGGATTATTCGATACTTTCAATTTTAAAATTTGAAAATTTCTAATACACAAATTGGAGTTTTCATCTTTATTATTTCACACATAATATTCATTTTTTTAAAAAATTTAATGGAGAAAAATAATGGTTTGTATAAAAAGGTATAAAATTTATACTTAACAAAGTTATTTATTCAGTAAATTAAACAGAGCAAAGTACACGTATCTTCCGATTTCTACAGAAACTTTTCAAGTTAAGATCGTGGTCAGCTTTAATGATTCTGATTTGCATTATATTATATATATATATATATATATATATAAAAGATCAAGCTCATAATGGTTTCAACGTGCATTGTCAGACGATATCCCCGAGAAAGTGTGTGACAATAAGCATTAAGAATGGGGGTATTCATAGAATTCATTTATTTTCTTGATTGGATATCCGATTTATATAATTTAATAATGATATTATCTAAAGCTCTGAATATATTTTTTAAAAAATTTTATGTGTATCAACCGCCTCTTTGAATTTTCATGATTTTTCGAAACAAAATCCATTGTAAATTTGATAAGAACCAACCTCACATGCATATGCGAATTTAATATCAAATTTTATGGTCCCGCATGCCTAATTCATTGCCATTTTAGGTTATGCGTTTCATGTGCAGTTAAACATGGATTGATCCTGTTGAAAAAAATTAATAAAAATAAAAAATGTAATGAACCAGACATTAAAATATATTCAAATTATCTATTTGAAATTTCCTCATGACTATATATATTATTAATATCTCAAATAAGTTAACTATAAATAATAAACGGTATATGTTGCTATCAATAAATGGTCTATAAATCTTAATATAGAGTGGGGACCAAATTTATAAACAAAAATGGAGATATTTTTATAATTCAATAAATATCAGATATCTTTTTGTAAATTTTTAAGAAAACAGACATTTTGAGAAAACTATTTGAATCTAAATTATTATGCAGGATATAAATATCAAATTAAAAAACCAAAAATAGCTAATTTTGGCCGCAAGCAATGGTTAGACAAGATAAGCAGAACAAGTTTGTCGCTCATTGAGTTCGTGTCTGAACACGTTTTCGGGGAAAAAAAAAGAAGGAATTATTAAATGTCTTATATTTCCAAAACATAATAATAAACATCGTATAATCACCTAAATTTCGGTCACTTTAAGCAAACATTTATCCACTCAACCACGTGTTCACCATAACAACATAAATATATATTTTAATTTCATTCTTTATTTTTTAATTTTCCAGTAACAAAATTATTTATTTCCTTTCAAATGTTACATTGAATTCTAGTTACGGGTTTCTATTTTCGTAAAATTTGGATGATATAAGTATAAGCGATATGAGAAAACATATACAAAAATTAATCTAATATCATTAGAATCATTTTAATTTTTCAGATAAAACATATACAATAATATTGGACTAAATGGTTTAACATGGACACTGTGCACGTGCTTGGCAAAATGCATTGACATACTAAATTTACAAGAATACCCTCTACTGCATATCCTTTTTACAGAAAAACTCTGTGTGTGGTGGATATACATCTCCTTGGACTTGAAACTAGTTACGTCTGGCCCAGTTACTTGGGCCTAAAGCCCTGAAATAAGTAGAAAAAATCTCAGCCGTACACGTCATGGTCCTTCACATTCATTCATAGACCCGGACACAGTATATTGTAACCAATAAAAACAAGCCACGTGTAAAGTTCCACGCTACAACCAAAAGCAGAGGAATAGTCATTAGTCACGACTCTAGGGCAAAAGTATCAACACAAGAACCTGTGAGGTCTCCCGTGGAAACCATTGCAACCATTTTCACCGAAATTTGTTCTCCACTTCCATGGCCGACGATTCTCCGTCTCCGGCGAACGGAGATTCGAATTCGCAGAAATCCGACCCCAATACTCCGAATACTAAGTCGAATACGTCAACTCCGCCGCCTCCCTCGCAAGTCGCCGTGTCGGAGCCTACCCCATCGCCGTTGTCTCAGCCTGTTCCAACTGCTCAGCCGCCGTATGCTCCGCCGCATATTTCTGGTGCGTCGGTGGCTGGTTTGCCGCCTCCCCCTCCGTTCCGCATCGGTATGCAGTTCACTCCGGTCGTGGGCTTCCAAAACCCTAGCGTCCCGCCGCCGG